AGCCATACGCCAAAAAAAAAAAAAAAAGAAGAAGAAGAAGGTAGACAGATTTTATACCTCCTAAAAATTAACTCAAAATAGATCACAGACCTAAATGTTAAATGTAAAACTATACATGTTATAAAAGATAGCATAGGGGAAAATGTAGGTAACCTTGGGCTTGGCAATGAGTTTTTAGATACAACAGCAAAAGCATGATCCATGAAAGAAAAAAAAAAAGATGAGTTGGATTTCATCAAATTAAAAATGTCTCTGTGAAAAATATTGTTAAGATAGTAAAAGAAAAGCAACAGACTGGGGGAAATCATTAGCAAGACACATATTTGGTAAAGGAATTGTATCCAAAATATACAAAAAACTTAAAATTAAACAAGAAGACACACAACCCAATTACAAAATTGGCAAAAGATCTGAGCAGACACCTCAACAAACAAGATATATAGATGGCAGATAAGCACAGGAAAATATGCTCAACATCATACATCCTTCTTGTTGTTGTTAGGTACTATAGAGTTGATTCTGAATCACAGTGACCCAGTATGGCAGTAGAACTCCTCCATAGGTTTCCTAGGCTATAATCTTTATGGGAGCAGATCGCCAGGTCTTTTCTCCCAGAGAGACTATGGGTGGGTTCGAACCACTGACCTTTCAGTTAGCAGCAGAGCATTTAACTATTGTGCCACCAGAGCTTCTTTATGGAATTGCAAATTAAAACAACAGTGAAATGCCACTACATACATTATAATGGTTAAAATCTGAAACACTGACAACACCAAATGCTGGAGAGGATATAGAAGTTCAGAAACTTTCGTTCATACTGATGGGAATGCAAAATGGTACAGACACTTTGGAAGAGAGTCTGGCAGCTTCTTACAAAGATAAATATAGGTTTACCATATAATCCAGCAGTTGTACTCCTAGCTATTTGTCCAAATGAGTTGAAAATGTACGTCTACACAGAAGTCTCCATGTAAATATTTATAGCAGCTTTAATCACAATTGCCAAAAATTGGAAGTAACCAAGATGTACTTTAATGGGTGAATGGATTTAAAAAACTGTGGCTCACCTATACAATGTGCTGTTCTTCAGTGACAAAAAAAAAGAAAAGAAAAAAAACTATCAAGCTATGAAAAGACATGGAGGAATCTTAAATGCATATTACTAAGTGAAGGAGGGCAGTCTGAAAAAGCTACTTATTGAATGATTCAAATTGTATGACGTTCTGGAAAAGGCAAAACTCTAAAGTTTTATACAGTGAAAAGATCAGCGGTTTCCAGGGATTTAGTGGAAAGGGCGAGGTAAATAAGTGAAACACAGAGTTTTAAGGGCAGAAAAGTATTCCGCAATGCGCTGTAACGTTATGCATTTGTCAAAACTCATTGAACTATACAACACAAAAAGTGAACCCTAATGTAAACTATGGACTTTAGTGAATAACAACATATCAGTATTGGTTAATCTATTGTACCAATGGACCACACTAAATCAAGATATTAATAATAGGAGAAACTGTGCAGCAAGGAGTGAGGGCATACGGGAACACTTTGTACTTTCTGCACAGTTTTTCTGTAAAACTAAACTGGCTTTAAAAAATAAAGTGTGTTAAACAAAAAATCAGATGAGGACACTGGGAGGAACACAGCTACAACAGCTAAAGAATTCATTAAGAAAAATTAAAATTAAAAAAAGAGAGAGAGAGATAAAAAAAATTAAATATGCAGATGAAGAGCTCATCTGCTAACCAAAATGTTGGTGGTTCAAATCCACCAGCCATTCCTTGGAAACCTTATGAGGCAGTTCTGCTCTGTCCTATAGGGCCACTAAGAGTTGGACTCAACTCAATGGAAACGATTGTTTTTTTTTTTCAATTCAGAAAACAAGAATAATAGAAGATGGACAGTTTAATAACCTAGCATTCATGCAACTTGAGTCCAAATAGAAGATGTGAGAGAAAATATGAGAGAAGCTGTGATAGTTAACTTGAGCAAATTGCTTGAGAACAGTCTCTAATGAAGATTAAATGGATTATTTCCTTAATATAAAGACTACCAATCTGGTGCTAATATTCCAGACAATGTTTTCTGGAAAATATGTTTGCATTCCAGATATGATTTACCTATACAAAAATCCTTAGTTCATAAAATTCCCTGATTTTGGAGTAGACAACAGATCATATCGTTCAGGGGACTGTTCCTTTGTCTACTTTATTAACTCTACAAGGATGAGCCATTTGTACATACAGAATAGCAAAAATAAGCGAACAAACAAAAACACATGTTTTTCTATCCTTTAAGAATGTACACTGTGAGTGAAAAGACACTGCTAAATCACATTGTAGGAGAGGACACAAACTTGATGCTTATGAATGGAATTTCCCACTGAATCAAATTTTCTTGGCAATTATTTGATTGACCTGCACTTCATTTAAAGTTTTAACATTCGTTTAGAGAATTTAAAAATCAGAATATTGCATTTAAATATCCAGTATTCTGATTCTCTTAAAATAATCACAAAATTGGGCTGCGATGGGTCCCAATGCGCACATGTAGGCATTATCTCAAATTAAATAGTCTTGCTCTTCTATTTGGGCATGAACTATACAGTCTATATCCTCCCACACTGTCTCCGTAACACTGAAAGGAGACTGTCCCTTTATTTGCCTTGAATCCTAGGCCCTTGACTTTGCATCTCCCTAGAGTAGAAACTTTGCAGAGCAAATTATTATCTCTAGTTCAGTCTCTCTTCTAAAACATGTACTTAGAGTCTATTCGCTTTAAATTAAGATATAGTGTTAACAGTTATAACAAGTTTATAGTTATGCCTCGTACAATGTCCATGATACATTCTGTGAAACAGGACATTATGTGATTTGGATGTTGTTTGAACATCATATTATGTACTGACAGTCCCTGAATTATGAATGAGTTCTGTTCCTAAGTATGTCTTTAAGTTGAATTTCTATGTAAGTCGGAACAGTTAGGTACAGTTTGTATCTAACGTCAGTAAGTCAAACGTTTATCTTAGTATATACTACATAGTGTAACTTTCTATGCATAAAAAACATAAAAGAAACACTTCCAGATACACTAAAATATCTATAACATAATAATAAAATAATAATAATAATAATACTTTGATGCACATCACAAAGTAGCATCCGTTTGTTATTATGAACTATTGTATGTACCTTGAATTTTTAATATAATAGGCTTTATGGGAACTGGGACCATGGACGTATATGCAGATTGCCAAAATGGACATTATGGGACGCATGGCTGTATTTGCTTTCTCAAGTCATGGTATATTAACAGAAAAATTAAAAAAAAAGAAAAAATGTTTTGAGGGAATATTTTTGCAAGGTTTTGTGTGTTGACACTAGAGTCAGTCACAATAATGGTGTAAGAAAGATGGCTCTCTCAGACAGATAAAGTGTGAAAGATGTCAGAAGAAGAACTGGAAAAACTCACACTGCAAGAGAAATAATTAGAGAAACTACTTGATCTGTTTGATGAATAGATATGATATTTATATAATTTTAATTGTATATAGATTTATGCAATTCATGAAGATTCATGAACACATTCCTCATAATAAATCATTATTTGTCCAAACAGTTTACAGGATTCCCCATTACATACAGAGCTATATGATGAGTTATAACTTTTATGCATAAATTAAAAATCAAAACCACACCCATTGCCCATTGAGTCAATTCCAACTGATAGTGACCCTATAGGTCAGACCAGAACTGCCCCGTAGGGTTTCCAAGGCTGTAAATCTTTAGGGAAACCAACTGCCACATCTTTCTCCCATGGAGAGGCTGGTGGGTTTGAACTGCTGACCTTTCCGTTAGGAGCTGAGCACTTAACTACTGTGAATATTTTATTGCAAGTTACTTTTGTCATGGTGACACCACATGTGTCAGAAATCAACAGTGTATTTAGTGCAATCTGGTGTAAAATGTCTTTTAAACAAGCCAGAGTGTAAGGTTCTGGAAGTACACTGCCTTGATTTCAAAATTCTAAGCATATCTCTGCACTGGCAGTATTTACTTCTGTCAATCCTTGTACCCAGGATGCTACCGACTGAAGAAAGATAGACCTTATTATATAAAAGGAGCCCTGGTGACCCAGTGGTTAAGAGCTTGGCTGCTAACCAAAAGGTCAGTAGTTCAAATCCACCAGCCGCTCCTTGGGAACCCTATGAGGGCAACTCTACTCTGTCCTTATAGGGTTGCTATGACTTGGAATCGACTCCATAGCAATGGGTATATTCATCACAATTATGACAATTTTGAGTTAATTTATAAAATCAATTTTATTTGGCTTGTAAATATTAAAGCTATTTTAGGACAAAAGGAGAGAGAGGGTCAGAGACACTGCTTATACTATAAAAAATGTTAATTGAGCCCTTATTATGTATAGCATGAGTTTTTAGTCTATTAAGAGCTATAATATTAGCATACATCATAAATATAGTGGTGGTAGAATCTACTCGAAAATAAAGTAGGCAAGATGTTGTATATTGTAATAAGGTGTATAAAGCAGAGTCAGCAATTTTCATATATTGCCTTTTTCCTTTTAATGTTTAATTTGTCTTATTATGTTTCCTTATAATGTTTCCTTGTCTTATTAAAAAATAGAACTTGTCTCATATGTGGGTATATGCCATATTGTGTGGACTAAATAAAATGATAAAATAGATACAAAGGTGCTCTGTAATCCCATATCAAAATGTATTGGAATATTTCCATGAATACTTAATAATACATAGCTACTTCAGCAAATGCAGGGTATTATTACTTAGTACCACTAAGTTTTAATATGTAACAGTGGTGCCAATTGGAACTCATATTCTAAACACAGTATCAATTATCAAACAGTAGGTGGAGTGGTTTCCTTAGTCTTACATACAGAAGGGAGACCATCTAGCAGAAAAACAAAATCTCATTTAGGAAAACAGTAACGATAAATTTAAACAATAGGAAGCATGTACATACTCTGAGGAAACCGTGGTGGGTTGTCGTTGACATCTGTCAGGGTGATATTGACTGTTGTCGATCCTGAAAGCCCTCCAACTTGTCCAGCCATGTCTTTGGCTTGAATGACCACTGAGTAATGTTCTCTGGCTTCTCTGTCCATGTTGTGTAAGGCAGTTCTAATAACCCCTGTAATACATATTTTTAAAAAATCAGTATACCTTATATGAAAAGCCACTTAAATGTATTTGTTTTTATGTTAAGAAACGTCTTTGAATAACATACTTTTAAAAGTTACCAGCACTTCTAAGACAAACAGTAACTTCACGCTGTAATTGACTCTCATCTAAAAATGTCTCATTGAAACATGTATTTATAAACACATATCCAAACCTTTGCATTACT